GATATAATTACTTAAGAGTCCATATGCATAGCTAAAGGCTACATAACAAGCAACAATGCCAGATAGGAGATACCTTCTTTTGAGTTGTTGGCCAGGGTGGCCAAAGGGACTCCCAAATAGTAACCCAGCATAGAACTGGGAAAATGAACAGCAGACCCTAATCTTATCTAAAGGAGTATTGACAACTGTTTGCAATAGAAGAGGAACAGTTGACCTTCTTAAATCAAAGACCACTAGATAGGCTGACTAGATTCACCAGAAGGGCAAGTAGTGGGGAATGGCTGGGGGTGCCGACAACACAGCAGACAGTAGTAGCGATATCATAGAGTATAAGGGCTGTAGAGGGGGGAAGGAGGCTATGGGAGGGTGCCATCTGGGAAGTGGTTGTATAGTCCAATAAGATGGTTTGGGATGTTCTGTGTGATATACACACACGCAAAACAAATTCAACAAATTTTAAAAAATGTATTTTTTAAGGAGGAAGCATGGAAATTTATGTCATGCTAAGTAGTAGAGGTGACAAACATTACCATTGAAATCTACCCGATGACTTTATAGACATACACAGAAGCCAAGGATTCAAGTGCAACTGATTATGACTAGTAATAATCAGATGCATACAGATTAGAGATGCATGTGCCAACATCTCAGTGTTAGTAGCAAAGACAATGATTCTTTCTGCAAGGAACAATATTTTCTAAAATGAAATGGAGAATTTTTTAAAGGTTAAAAAAACTCATTCAATTTTATGTCTTATAGGGCTTATACTGAGTTCAATATTGTATAACTGTATTAACTCAACTGTGAACCTAGAAACTTGCACCCAGTTGTGAAAGAGATGTACTCTTGCTCTGGAGTGTGTTACTGAATATGTTAACTCTGTAGTGAAATGCTTCTTCTAATCATGCAGCTATTAAAAATTAAAAACATAATGATTAAAAAATAATAATCAGTAGATGTGAAAAACATTACCATTGAAATCTACCTGACAACTTTATATTTATGCTCAGATGCCAAGGAGCTCAGAAAGTAACTGACTGTCACTAGTAATAATCAGATGTATAGAGATTAGAAACATATGTGCAAACATCTAATGTCAATTGCATTAAAAATTAATTTTTCTGTGTGAAACTGTGTATTTTAATAATGAAATGGAGATCTTTTTAAAAGGTTAAACCCTTATTTAATTTTATGTCTTACAGGGTTTGTACTGAGTACAATATTGTATAACTGTAATAATTCAACTGTAAACCTAAAAATTTACAGCCAATTTTGTAAAAGATGTATCTTAGCTCAGAAAATTGTTATTGAATATGTCAATGCTGTTGTCATGAAATGCTTCTTCTAAGTATGTGGTTCTTAAATAAATAATTAACTGGAAACAAAAAATGAAAGAACAACAAAATAAGGTGGAGAATGACTGAGGAAGGCACTAAGTGTTGATCTCGGGCTTTCATAGGTGTGTGCACAGGCACGCATGCATGCACACGCACACACACACACACACACGCACGGATGCAAGCACATGCATGTGGATGCACCCACCCACATTTGAACACACAAAATGCTAGTTTTCTCTTGATTAATTGTTTATTGTAGTGTTGTTATGAGTAGCCAGGGCTCACAACATAGATTTTGATGATTTTAAACAAAATCATATTGTTAACCCCAGAAGAATCAAGCCCATTGTGCTGTCTGCTTCCCAGGCCTTGGAATACCTGCTGTGGGCCAGCATGTGCATGGAATCCTCCGTCCCGCTCTTGTCGGTCAGGTACCTGACGTGGAGAGCCACTCTGTATGCTGCTGTTTGCCAGTGCCACTATGACTGCCAAGCCAGCATTCACGGAGAGGTGAGTGGATTTTTAATCTGGATGGCTTCAACATTTGAAATGCAGCCTATTAAGGCTTTTGTTTTTCAGATGTCTCAAAGAAACAGAGTAACTGAAGAATTGAAAGGAAGCAAAAACCAAAGTTTCAGGTTTTATCTAGCCTGTTCTGTTTTGAAGGTCTCTTGCTGTATTTGGTATTTCTTTCAAATCGTTTTTAAAATAAAACAATTTGTTTATTTTTATTTTATGTACATGAGTGTTTTGCTTGGTCTATGTAAGTGTACTGCAATGCCCACAGAGGTCAGAAGAGGGCGACTCCCTGGAACTGGAGTTACAGACAGTTGTTAGCTACCATGTAGGTGTTAGGAACTGAATCAGGGTCCTCTGCAAGAACAGCCAGTGCTTTATTTCTTTTAAATCTTTGTGTGTGTGCATCTCTGTGTGTGTGTGTATGTGTGTGTGTGTGTGTGTGCTCGTATGTGTAAGTGCATGTGTGTACATGCCATGGCACACGTGTGGAAGTCAGAGGATACCTTGAATGCTGATCCTTACCTTTCCCTTTGTTGAGACAGGGTGTCTTGTTTGCTGCTGTGTACTCCAGGCTAGTTAGCCCAGGGGCACCCAGGGAGTCTTCTTTCTTTGTCTCCCTTATTGACCCAGGAATGTTGGGATTACAGATGTGAGCTGCTGCCTTTGGCTCTGTGTGGGTTCTGGGGATCTGGACTCAGACCTTCACGCTTGTGCTACAAGCATTTTACCAGTGAACCATCCCTTGTGCCCACTTGACCCCCTTTCTGCTCATAGTTTCTAGCATCTTTCTTTCCTCTTTGTGATCTTGAATATAAACTACCTGTTTGGTAGTGCTTCCAGTCACTATCACTATTTGTTACATGGTTTTCTTTTTTTTTTCTTTTCTTTTTTCTTTTTTTCTCTTTTAGACTGAATATTTGAAATGTAACAAGGTGGCAGGGCTCCTAATGCCACCTACTGGTGGCTGGTACAGAATCTTGCTGTTGTTTAAAGGAGTTCCCTTTCTATAGATCTTGATACTTAGTCAGTGGATGTGGCTTTGATCAAAATTAGAAAAGGCCATTCTTTTTTTTTGGGCCAACACATCCTTGCCCCAGGATGCATGCATAGGCTGGTAAGTGGAGTGCAGGATGTGTTTTAGCACCTACTCAGCCCCTTGCTTGGAGCCTTGTGAAGGACACTGACTTCAAGCTATACATGTATCTGTTCCTATTCTGCTCCTGTTTCTGTTCAGAAATAAATGATTTGACCATTAATGATTTTTTACATTTAGTTTTTTTCTGCCTAAACTAATTCTGAAGGGCTGGGTGGTAGCAATCTCCAGAGAGAAGAACAGCTGAATTCAGACTCTTCCAGGGTATGTTTATAGCTCAGGATAATTCTAGAAACTGTCTACCATATATATATATATATATGGTTAACCAGTACAGTAGAGGCAGCACAGTTTATAATACAGCTATTGAACTTAATCAGGGAAAGGAGCATGGATAGTTTTGCCCATTTGATTCCTGTTGGGATTCCTGCTTACTGGGATATTTACACACTCATTTGTGTTAATATCCTGGTTAGCCTGGAAGTGTCTTCACTAAGAGCTATAAGTAAAATATTTCAAAGAGCTGGTGATATTAATGCTGTGAAATTTTGGAAGTCCAATGTATTGTGCTGTACCTATGACATGAACTTTTGTTAACACTTTTTATTTTATCCTTAAAATTTTTTTGGATTGATTTATTTTTATTTTATGTATAAGGGTAGTTTACTTGCATGTATGTAAGTGCAACTATGTCATGCAATGCTCATGGGGGCCAGAAGAGGGTGTTGGATTCCCTGGAACTGGAATTATGGATGGTTGTTAGTTGCTGTGTGGGTGCTGGGAACTAAATGCAGGTCCTCTGCAAGAGCAGCCAGTGCTCTTAACTGCTGAGCCATCTCTCCAGCCCCTTGTTGCTGAACTCTGAAAAAGTCTTCTGAACTCTGTCTTTATCTCTAGTGAATCATCACAGTGGTGAAATGACTAAATAAGTCCACTCTGCCTTCTTCCCTCCTCTCCTTCAGATACTTCTGAAATATTTCCTGTACAGCAGGTATCAGAGGTGAAATGATGGATAAAGCCTTTCAAAGACCCTGCAATGAAAAGAAAGGGATAAAAAAAGCTGGGATTTGAGTAGACTACCTTGGTGGGGGGCGGGGCTCGTGTGTGCCTGCAAGTGTAAGCATGCTTGTATGCAGTCCTAAAGAAATGGATGTTTTGTTTAACCCATATTTTGGTTTTTAAAATTCTGTGATTTGCAAAGTTAATGTGTCAAGAAGTTTATTAATTTTAGATCTATAGCGCTTAGTGGTGCTTCTAGAAAAAGATAGATTGGATAGGTACTGTGCTATTAGGAGTCAACAGCAGCTGGAAGTTTAATTCAGATTAAATCAAGTGTCTTAAGACATCAAACATACTGTTTTTATACATTTTTAATCACTATACCCCAGGTTTCTATGGATTAAATTTATTTTAATCGCACATAGGCATTTGCTCGGCGTGCTTTGGCTAAAATTGATGAGTTAAGGCAGCTGGAATTAATGAGTTCCTCAAACTCTCATGAAAAATCCCGAAGATATTACAGAGAGGCCACGACAAAGGTATGAAAATTTCATGAAACGAAAGAAACTTACTGCACAGCACAGTTGATTAAGTGCTCAGTATTAGTGGCTGAGGCGTGCACGCCCCGTTTCACTCCATGTTAAGATTCTTCTATTTGGAACAGATGGCAGTGATGATTTTCAAAAGAGGAGTGTATGAGTCTAGAAGAAAAAACAAAGTTTTGTTCAGACCAAAGATAAGGATTAACCTCAAGGAAGCCCAAAATGTAAGTCTCAAAGTCTTCTCTTTTTGAGACTAGTTTTGCATCACGCTTGCGTTATTCCTCTGTATCTTTTAAGCGTAGTTAGTAGTGATTAAATTCTGCCCTGGATTTTCTGCACTGATAGGCAAATACAATGTTTTTCCAACTGAGATATGGCCTGACTTCATCCCTTTCTCTTTCTCTTTCTCTCTCTCTCTCTCTCTCTCTCTCTCTCTCTGATTTGTGCCTTACAGAGCCCCAGTTTTGCAATGTTAAGGGATGAGAAATCCAAGAAGAATCTGGGAAATGTTTGCATGAAAAGGCCTTTGCAAATGAACAGGCCTCTGAGCTGCTCTGCCAGGCTTATGCCTTTGGCTGCTTGCTGTTTGCTTTGAGGGTTTCTGATTAGCTTCAGTTTTACCTTTGCAAGTGTCTGGGAACTAGACTACACCATAGCAACAAACAAGCCCCACACCTCAGAAGCCTGAAGCAATAATTTCCCACTGGAGTCAAAGGCTGGTAGAGGTATGGGGGATCCTCACTTAAGATGGCTGCTCAGGAACAAGCTGGGGAGCAGCCCTCATTTAACAGCTTTCTTCTTAAAGGGATGAGAGAGAGAGAGCTCAGAGGATCTCACAGGACCTATGATACCCAGTGTGGAAGTGGTACACTTCTCCCGTGTCATAACTAGACACATGACCCTTCTCAACTTCCGTGCCAAGCACTGTCTTGAGAAAGGGCATGACGTAGTAATGCCTGTGTGCTCCTGCCTCTCTATCCCTTGCTACCTTCTATCTTCTCCTTCTTCCCTTTAAAGGCCTTTCTGAGCTCAGTGTCCTCGAGGTCACGGCTCCCATTTCTCTGAAGCTGTCCCTGGCTGCTCTAGATGGTCATCAGCTCTCTTCTGTGAGTTTTGTGATTGGAAATCACCCAATGCCAGGGCTTCTTTCCCATATATGAAGAAAATGAAACAGAGTGTTTAAGTTACTGGCTCAAGGTCACAAGAGAACCTGTGGCCCTTGCCTAGTCCTTTCTCAGGGCTCTAATGTCTGCTCCTCTCTCCTTAGTTCTTATACTATTTAGGAATAATCCCATTTAAATACAAATATTGCTTTGGACATGGAGTCATTCCATTGCTACTTAGTGTGATTATTTTGGCTACTGAACCCGGAAGAATATTGAGCATAGAACTTTTAAATCCTACCCTATGATGATCAATGCTGCATAATTGCTGAAGGTGGTAACTTGCCAAGTTATAAGCTGTCAGATGAGCTGTTGAACAACCTACATCTGGTGTCATTAAGCAGTAGTGCTGTCATCTTTACAACAGGGCAGAGATAATTGTTTTCTTTCTCATAAACCATTTTTTGAGTGCAAATCAGATTTGGATATCCAAAGTTGTAAGGTTGTCATTGCTTAGCATATAATTAGGATTTGTAGTCATCCTGATTAGCAAAATTAAATATATTGTCAAGGGATTGTTTAAAATTCTAGATAAAATTATATTAAAATCCATGTATAGCCCAAGATGGCCTGGAGCTCACTGTGAGCCCAGGCTGCGCTTGAACCTGATCTTCCTGCCTCAGCTTGTTGAGTGCTGAGATTATAAGCCTGAACACTTTGCTCTTTGGTGACATTTTTTTTTTTTTTTTAAAGAAAACAGTTGTGATCATTTCATGGCTAGTTTTTACAGACATTAGTCTACATAGTCCTTTTGTTTTATTTTGTAAAATATCCTACTTTGCATGTATGAAATAATTATGTTCCCTAAAATAACTCCAGTATGCACTAAATCTATTTTCTAGAACATTTCTTTGTTTGTAAGTCATTTGTTAACTCATAGTATCCAATTTGACATTCAAAAGATTTTTTAAAAGAGCAACTAATTTAAAGTCCTGATGACCAACCATTTAGTAATTCATTTAGTACGTTTGTTAAACATATTTGCTATTTAAGCAAAATAAAGGTTGCATTTTAGTGGAAAAACTACAAAACAATTATATCTGTGATGTTTTAAGAAGAAAATAATGGTGATGGGTGTTAAATGAATTATCCAGAAAACCTGGAGGAGGTTGCTGGCAGTCTTGGATCTTCAGCAAATAGTAGCTGTTGTTACAGTTATTTCTTTTTCATTAATTCATTAAGCCATCATGTACTATATACCTATTGTTTTCATACAGTGGAATATAGAAAAAACTGAACTGTGGTCCTGTTGTTTTGAATGGCCTTGGAATAACGGGCCAGATGTTGCCAAAGAGGCAGAGGAAGAGCACTGGAAGGGAAGGACTGGAGCTTGAGCAGAGCTTGGAAATGAAAGTCAGCGAGGTTGGAGGAGGGGAGAGAGAAATAGAGCTTGACTGGAATAGACTTATTATGTTGAGATGAACACAGTACATCTCAGGAGGTAGCTGTCACAGAGGTGGAACAGACTCCACAGCTGGTGTCATTTAGATTTTCATTCATCCTGACATTTTAAAAGATGCTGCAACATAACCAATACTATATATATGCCGTAACTTGTGTAATATTTCATGGCTCATACTTCTTTCCTTTTTTTTTACTGGTAGACATACTGATGTGCCTCACCTTTTCAGGCATGCTTGTTTTTTCTTTTATTTTATAGATAAAAATCAAAGGTTGGTGAGATGGCTCAGCAGTTTAAGGTGATTGCCACACAAACCTGGTGACCAAGTAAAGGTGGACAGAGGGACCTTACTCTATAATGTTGTCCTTTGACCTCTACAGGAGCTGTGGCATATGCATTGCCTCCATTATGCACACTCAATAATAATAAATGAAATAAAAAATTTAACTGTAGGATTATTGAATAAAGGAATTAAATATTTTTATTTCTCTTGGCATATATTACCAATCAGTAATATCTAGCTTGCTTTCAAGGTTGTAACCAGAACTGTACCAGTTTTGCTATTAGTATTTTGATATTATTTGTTTAAATATTTTTTGTGAATTCAGTTACTTAAGATCAAAGGTGTGCACCACCACAGCCTGGCTTTATTGAGGTTTTTAATGTATCAGTTGGCCCATGGAATGAATGACATAGACACTAATAGAGAGGGAAGCTGGTGTCAGGAAAACAGAATCCAAAGCAGCTCTGTTCTTTCCTTTCTGTGTTTCTGAATTGGCCCAAGAAGACCACAAAATACAGGGATCGTGGGAAATATGGTTGGTATTTTCCAGCTGGGTGTCCATACAGGAAATGCCAACTACAGGTCCCAGCTCCCTTACTGACAATCTCAAGGTACAGAACTGGCCACTTGCTAGAAAGAGTAGAGTATACAAGTGAGCACCTGCAGGAAAAGCCTCTCTGGGCCAGCGGGAAACAGAGTGGCTGGATCTCACCCAGCCCTGCTGAGCTACCTGCTTGTTGGTGTATAGTTGATCAAGCCTTCCTTAGTGTTGACCATCACAGGCCCAGTTATTTACATAAAATAATGTCTCAGATTTCAGTTTGAGGACATTCTGCATTAGATTTCCTTCAGTGCTTATCAATGGACCCACTCCTCCACATTTTCTGGTCATATGGTCTTGAAACTAAAAAGCATTCCAGAGCAATTCTTAGGCCAACAGAGGTTGAGTATAAGCTTGCTCTCTAGGGCTGTCAGTAAGGTACCAGAAATGGAGATGCTGCTGCCTTAATAAAAGACCTTTCTGCTCTACCAGGGAAACACTCACACATAAAGTAGCAAGGTGCTTCCTCTTAAATGGCGTAAAGAGTGACAGCACAGAGATAGAATCCCCGAAAGCAGCCATCTCTCTTAGCATTGGTGAAGCAGACCTTATCCTTTGCATTTTATTGTCTTTGGTCTTCCTTACTCTAGATGTCGTGGCCTCGCACTGTCACAGAACGGCTGTTGGACGAGCTGTTTGATAGCACTGCATCCCAATTTCTGGCTGTCTTGGAATCTCTTTCTGACTCGAGCAGGCGGATCCTACAAACTGGACCTCTGGTTACCGAGGAAGTGGAGCTTCGTGATGTTGTCTTAGAACTGTTTATGGCTGGAAAAGAACTTTTAATACGTAAATAAGTGTTAATATTTAAAAATATTTTATTATTTTTTATTTTATGTGTATAAGTGTATTGCCTGTACGTTAAGTGCACCCATGTTTTGCAGTGCCCAGGGAGGTCAGCAGAGGGCACCAGATCCCCTGGAACTGGAGTTATGAACAGTTGTTAGTCACCATGTGGGTGCTGGGAATCAAACCCGGGTCCTCTGCAAGAGCAGTCAGTGCTCTTAACCACTGAGCCATCTCTCCAGCCCCAATAAATGTTAATATTTTATAGCAGACATTGCTAACAAATATTTAGGGTGGTAGTCCCTATATGAGAAACTGATTTCTGGTTTATATATTGACCATGAATTCAGTAACCTTGCTAATGCCAATTGATAATTCAAGTACTTTACTAGGAGCTTTTTTATTTAAAATATATAATTATGTTTGAATGACAATTATATTTCATTCTTTGCAATTTTTATCTTTTAATTTTCTTTTTACCTTCATTTCTTGACTTGTTGCGTGGACTGGGATCAGCAGTAAACACATAGGAAGGATGCAGTGACACAGACCTCCTTTTCTCATTTCTGATCACAGATGGAAAGCTTCCAACATTTTACTGTTAGTTTAGACAGTTACTAAAGGATTGTCATAGATCCCTTTTTTTTCTAATTCCTGATTTATTGATTTTTTTTGGTCCTCTGCAGAGATTGTGTATGTATGTGGGGGGTGTGTGTGTGTGTGTGTGTGGTGTGTGTGTGTGGTGTGTGTGTGTGTGGTGTGTGTGTGTGGGTATGTGGATGTTAGAGCACAACCTTGGATGTTGTTCCTTAGGTACCTTCTATTTGATGTTTGAGACAGTATCTTTCATTGGCCTAGAACTTCATCAAATAAGCTAGGGTAGCTGGCCAGTGAAGGGATCTGCCTGCTTCCTCTGCCTCTCATCCCACCATTACTGGGATAAGACTGCCTTGCCACTATGCCCAGCTTTTTGCATAGGTTTTAGAGATTGAACTCAGGTTCCTCATGCTTGTGAGGCAAGTGCTTTACTGACTGAGCCATCTCCCCAACTCTGTTGGCTGTGTGTGTGTGTGTGTGTGTGTGTGTGTGTGTGTGTGTGTGCGTGCATGCGTGCATGTGTGTATGCATGTGTGTAGGTGCACATGTGTGTGTTGTGTATATGTGTGTGAGACAGGTGTCTTCACTGAGCCTGGAACTCACTGATTCAGCTAGATTGGCTGGCCAATGAACCGTAGGGATCGTCCCCTCTGTGCCTCCTTAGAGCTGGGCTTGCAGGTGCACACTGTCATGTCTGGCTTTTTATGTGGGGGCTGAGGATCTGAACTCAGGTTCTCATGTGTGCATGGCAAGCTCCTGACTGATTTAGCTCCTCAATCCCTGCTGTGTATTTTATCCTGGATAATTCTTGAATTTTATCAAAAATCTTTTCTGGATTAATTGAGATTGAATTGATCAAATGACTTTCTCTTTTATTTCTAATATGGTAAATTACATTAATTTCCCTTAATTGTTAATAACTCTGTTTTTGTAATAGGCTTGATTTGGAGGTGAGGATTAGACTTTTGATATGTTGCTTGGTTTGTTTGCTATTTAATATTTCTGTTGCTTCGCTCATGAGAGGATTTTCCTGTCTTGCAATGTGTTCCTAGGTTTTCACTCTCAGGATTGTGCTGGTCTCACGAAGTGAGCTGAGAACTTGGTCTTTTCTTTATTGTCTGGAAGGGTTTGTGTCAGTCTGGTGATGCTTTTTTCTTTTCCTCTTTTCTTCCTTTGTTTTGTTTTGAGATAGGTGGCTGGATCTCACTACATAGTTCAAACTGGCCTTGAACTTACGGTAATACACCTGTATTAGCCTCTCGAGTGCTCGGATTGCAAATGCAAGTGACTAGGACCAGCTCTGATGTTGCTTTTTCTTAAATGTATGGTTGAATTTACTGGTGAAGTCCTCTTTTCCTTGAAAGAAGGGTTTTCACTATGGATGGGTTCAGTTTCTTCCATAGGTATAAAATTATTTAAGCTTTCTATTCATTCTTTTTTCCTAACTCCCCTACCAGTTATGTAAATGATACTTTCCTTGAAAATTTCTAGCTTATCTAGTATTTGTAATCTTTAAAATTATTTGTAATTGGTTGTTATGTCTTCTTAATGTCCCTACTTTTGTGCTGATGTCACGTTTCCATTCTTGGTCAGTTTGCCTACTCTTTTTTTAATTTAAAATTTAAATATGATGTTTTATTAATTCCTTGAGAATTTCATAAAATGTATTTTGATCACACTCACTCCCCACTCCTTCCCTTAACCACTCCCATATCCACTCCCACCTCCCCAACCTTCCAACCTCGTGTCATTTTCTTTTTGCTATTGAGACTAATCTGTGCTGTCCATGTACCCCTGCTTTCTATTTCCTCCATTTCACCATGGGGCCAGTGCCTTTATTAATCCTTGTCTATTTTCCTTGTTAGTTTCTATTCTTTGTTAAACCTATGTTTTGCTCTAAGCAAATATTATTTTCCAAAATGATATTTCCCAGTTTATATTCCACAAACATGTTATTGAGGGCTGCAAGGCCCCCAATTCACAATGACACTTGACATTACTGCATTTTCCTTCTGTCCATTCTGAGTTCTGTTCGTTTTGAAGGCCGTGAGCTCATTCATCACACAAGGCACCACAATGTGGTAGAGAGATGTCACATTACGGTGATGCCTGAACAAAGACAGCCTGACCCCTTGGCACAGGTTAAAACCAAGAGGGAGCCTGATTTGTTTGGAAAGCTTGTTCCTCCAGATTTCTCTCTGAACTGTCCTCCTGAACAAAGGACCTGCTTTGTCTGTAGTGAACAGTACATCCAGCATGATATGGGAAATAACATGAGGAACTTGTCTTATTGGAAGAGATTCCCTTTCTGACTCCTGCTGACCCAGAACAGCACACATAACCGCACACAGATGTTATCCATTGAATCCCACCTGTTGTTTGTAACATAAATGGGACAATTTATTGCTTCCAACTCTATTCACTGCTTTTGCTGTCGATATTTTCACAACATACACAGTCACATACATAATTCCAGAGATGGGCAAGGAAATAGTCATGAGAAATTAAAACTATATGTCTACCTTACCAGAGGAGCCCGGGGCCTACTAAGATTATTTACATTGCAAACAAGATGAGATAGTGTTAGATGATCTCAAAACATAAGATTAACTTTGGCTACAAGGTGAGGTGAGATTCCCATTTGTAGCAGAAGACAGTCCCAGAAGAGTCATTCCCACAGTATTTCTCGGATGACTAATGAAGTGGAGAACCATGTTTTGCATTTCTTCTGCCATGTGGATATATTACTTTGTGACATATCTGTTCATATATCTGCCCCTTTGTCTGTTGGCCCATTGACTTTCTTCTTACTACTTTGTAAGAATTTGCCACGCATTCTGATATAATCCTTTTTGAATATGTTTTGAAAATACTTGCTTCTACTTGGTGGCTTGTCTTTTCATTCTCTCTTTCTCCCTTTTTCTTTTTCTTTTTTTTTTTTTTTTTTTTTTTTTTTGAGACGGTCTCACTATGTACCTATGAGTGACCTAGAACTCATTATGTAGACCAGGTTGACCTTGAACTCTTGGCCCTTTTCATTCTTTTTGTGAGCCTGGGAACTGTGCCCATTTCCCCCCACTCTTTCCTTAGTTTCTGGTAGTGTCTGAAAGCTAATATTTAATAAATACATCTTTGCATAGATGGCATTCAAAGTTCTCTCCTGTGTGTGTGTGTGTGTGTGTATTCGTGTGTATGTGTATACGTGTATGTATGTGTATGTGGAAACCAGAGGTAGACCAGATATCTTCCTCAGTGACTCTCCTTGTTTTTTTTGAGACAGCAGCTCTCACTGAACATGGAGCTCACTGATTTAGCTAGACAAATTGGCCAGGATGTTGTAGGGATCTTCCAGTCTTTGCTTTTCCAGCTCTGGGATTTGGGGAGCATGCTGCCATGTCCTGCTTTTTACATGGATGCTGGAGATATGAACTCAGGTCCTTATACATGTGTGGCAAGCATTTTACCAACTGAACCATCTTCCCAACTCTTCAGTTTCTTTATGCTATTTGTTGAGAACATAAATTCTTAATTTGAATGTAGCCCTGTTTGATAATACACTCTTTATAGTTAATCCTATTTTTGTGTCATGTTTAAGAAATCTTTGCCTTGTTGGGGGCTGGAGAGATGGCTCAGTGGTTAAGAGCACTGGCTGCTCTTGTAGAGGACCTGGGTTTTATTCTCAACACCTATATGGTGGCTAATTCCCTCCAGTTCCAGGGAATTTGATGCTCTTTTCTGACCTCTGTAGACATTGTACGGCATGGGTGCATTTACACACATGCAGGTAATATGCTCATACACATAAAAAATAATAAAATAACAAAAAATATTTTAAGAAGGGAAATCTTTGCTCCTTCAATGCCCTACATAGCATATTTTCTTCTAATAGTCCCATTTTGTGTCTTACCTCTTGCATAAGGTCTACATTTCAGCCATTTTTGAAAACAGCTTTCTTTCCCTATTGACTGCAATATCCCTATTATAAATTAGTGGCTTGTTACATGTATCCTCTGTTTTCTCACTCAGCCACATTGTCCAGTGAAGTGTCCAGTTTGTTGTGTGTAGTGCTCATCCACTCATTATTGCTGAATAGTGTTTCATGGTATGGATGCTCTGCAGTTTGCTTAACCATTTACTTGTGGAAAGACATTTTGATTGTTTCCAGTTTGTGGCTATTAGGAAGAAAACTGCTGTGAACTTTCGAATCTGGATTTTAATGTAAAAATAATGTATCACTTCTCTGGTGTAAATACTCAAGAACAACTGCTGTTTCCTATGATAAGTATGTATTTAGTTTTGTCAGAAATTGTTGTAACCATTTCCAGGTTGATTGTGTCATTTTACATTTCCACCTGCCACATGTGAATGATCCAAATTTTTAGTATCCCTGAGAGTGTTTGTTAGTGTCATTATTTTAAAATTTTAGTTATTTTATAGGTGAATAGCGGTGTCTACTTGAGTCTTTAATTTGCATTTTCTTAATGGCTAAAGGTGTGGAGTAGCTTTTCATGTCTACATTCGCCACCTGCACATTCTCTTCAGTCTTCTGCTCTTCTGAACATACTGCTTGGTTATCTCTCAAGTTCTGAGAGTTCTTTTTATGTTCTATGTGGAAGCTCTGATTACTGCCTTTTCAAGGCAATCAAACCTTTGTTAATTTGCATTCCTCCTGGTTACTGCCCCTTTTTTCATTGCTTCTTTCTGAATTTATTTCCTTTTACTAATTCTAAACACTCCAAATTTTGAAGTATCTGAATAATGGATACAAAGCTTTACTTAATAAGCTTGTTCATTTTAAAGTCTGGGTAATATATCTCCATAATCTTGGACATGGGGATTTTGTGGAGAAGTCTAATGCTAGTTTAAATCTTGTCATTTTATACATTTAGCTTTCACAATTTTCTCCTTTTAATGTTATGCCTGCATTTCATTATACTGGGTCTACGAATGCAGGAGGCATTTTGAGCTCTAATATCTTACATTTTTTCCCATTACTTTTAAATTTCTTCTTTGTATTTATTTCTTTTTCTTCAAGACTTACATCAAACAGGTGCTAATATGTTTACACTCACCAGCAACCCCCCCATCTTGTTTTTTTATTAGCCCTTTCTTCTTTTTTTATTTCTTTCCTGCCTTCTGGGCTCCTTGGTCTGGGTTTCCAGGTCACTCATTTGTTTGCTCCTTTCTGGTCTGCCTTCCACCCCGCTATTGAGTTCATAGTGTCTCCCCTGCTGGACGTTAGTTGTGCTCTCTACTCGTTCGTCTAGACCCTGGTTGTACTTCATGTTTCTGATATCCTCTTGCTTCTGAGAGAACACTTGTGCTAAATTCCCATTCATTCTGTTCTATTTTTTTTTGCTTCCTGTGGTAAAGGATATTGCCCTGTGGGTTTTCCTTGAAAACACTTGCATGTTTAATTTTCTTTCTGCACGAGCTTACCTTCTGTTGCCTTGCAGCCATCTGCTGGTGTGGTTATGGTGTTCACCTAGGAGAAGGGGTGGAAAGCTAAATGTTAGCCTGTGCAGCTTTAGATGAGGTATGTGAGTGTGAGTGTGTGTGTGTGTGTGTGTGTGTGTGTGTGTGTGTGTGTATGAAGGCAAGGCGCTTCTGGGGCCACACTTTGGCCTCATATCTTCATCAAAAACAATACAAGTTCTCGGGTGAGAATTTCCTTGATTTCATTCACTCAACTCCTAAACCTGTACAACTCTGTCCACTGTCTTTCATTGAAGTTGAAGGGATATGTCTCTTCCATCTCTTCATGTCTTCAAGTCAAATTCTTCCAAGCAGCCCCTTTCCCAGGTCCTCTTTTATCTTCTTACTTGGTATCTTGAGATAGTCAGATGTGCCTATTTTCATTATTCTCTAATTCTTTTCTTCTATGCGTACATCAGATAGCCTTGGTCCCTGCCATGCAATTAAACTACGTCATGGACAATCTCCGTGTTGCTTGGTCAAGGCTATCTTCTCATCCTTTGCCCTTATCCTGCTCTGTGTGCTCTCTAGAACTTGCTAATGTTGACTGTCTTTGCTCACTAAACACTCTCCTTAAACCATCTACTTATGATATATGTATTAGTGATTCTGAAAGCCACACCCCTATTTTAAATCTCTTTCCTGGGTTTCTGGTCCATGTCAAGCTGTCTACTTGGCTAGTTCACTGTGGCAAAATTTTTATATTGCACGCTTCTTCTTGGTAGACTTAGAGACTGTCCTCCCTCAGACCTGTGTTGGATGGCCTTTCTGTTTGTCCTCCCAGCATGCTGCATTTGCCCACTTAATTTCTTCCTTGCCCCTCTCCCCTGGAAACTCAGTGACAGTCATGCCGGGGACTGTGCCTGTTTCTTTCGCATTGTTTCACTAGTGCCTGGCAGTGTCAGCTAGTTAATATTTAATAAACATATCTTTGCCTGGATGACATTCGAACATCCTCTTTTTATTTCTAGTTTCAAATATTGGTGAAAATGGAAAGCTTGATTTTCCAAAAACCTCTCTTCTGGAGCATATAACAGAAAGGAGAAATACCATTTCTATGGATGCTGCTGTGAAATTTACAAAATTAGCTTTTACTTACGAAGAATGGGGCTTATTTGAATCGCTGGCTGGGCAGCTTATTAATTTTCTCAAGGTAACACATGCAAAATTATTCATTTGTTTTATTAAAATGACATTGATCTTCTCATTAATCTGTGGGATATGCTCCTTAAGAGGCAGGAGGATCCTGAGTCAAAGAAAGCAGAGAAGGATTTGATTCTTTTGGTTGCAGTGGAGCCACTAATCAATGTAAAGAAAAACAAGGGCTTGATCTTCCCTTTGGAGAACGATAAAGAAGGACAGTCACTTCAAAGTTACTTACAACACATTGCTTGTCATGGTGAGTATTCATTTACTTCCTGGAAAATATTTTGCTTTATATTATGTAAGAAAACTTGCTCTTTCTAGATGAGGCAAAACAAAGAATGTTCAAGGCAGAAGGAATAGGAGATGGACAGGCCCGAGAGCTAGAACGTGCCTAGAGTTTGAAGGACTGGCAGGGGGGTCTGTGTGGCTTGTGATAGTGGCAGAAGTGGCGGAATTTGGTAGGTCAGGAATAGCTGGGTGCCAGGTGACGTGGTTGCTAGGCCCTGTGAGGACCACGTATGTTATTTTAGAGATGATTTTGACATGAGATGGAGATCCTATGCAGAGCCAGGGAGCAAAGGGCAAAGGGCAACGGCTAAGCAAAGACTTGAATCATTTAAAAGTTATTGTGGATATGGGGCTGGAGAGATGGCTCAGCGGTTAAGAGCACTGACTGCTCTTGCAGAGGACCTGGGTTCAATTCCCAGCACCCACATGGTGGCTGTGAATCATCCTTAACTCCCGTTCCAGGGAAATCTGAAGCTCTCTTCTGACCTCCATTGCATTGCATGACATGAGTGCACTCACATACACTCATACACATAAAATAAAAATAATAAATAAAATATCTTAAAAAGTTATTGTGTATATACTTGAACAACTAGTCTACTTTTAGATCAGTGGAAATTATTTAATTCCATGGTTTTTATGTTTCCCGTGTTCTTAAGGCATTGCCTGGCTGCTCCTTTGTGGTTGACCATTTATTTGTACCAAGTAGTCATACACCAGTAGACTTTTTTTCTTTACTGGTATCTGAATAAATATTTTTGTATGCTTTTCCAACTGCTACATTTTTAGATTACTCTAATACTATAAGCTTCTTCAGTTTCTTTTTAGATATGGTCAGCGTACACATGGATTAATAACAATAGTAATAATAATAGTAGTAATAGTCTATTTTAATTGGATTAGAGCTACTTAGTTTAATTTTGGTATAAAACATTTAAATATTTTATTGGCATATTTGGTCCGGTGTCACTTGTGCCACTTTTGTAGAATTTCTGTTTCATATTTCATGTTTCATAATTGAATTTATGATTTCATTTTCTTCTGACTTTTGGATGCAGAGTCTTGTGTGAGGAGTTGTGGATATTCCGAAGACATTTTTCATTTGGCAGCAATTCTGCACTTCTGTGTTTGTGTCCCTTCCAAGGTGAATTAATTCCTTTGAATAACTTTTAACAGTGTGGTAGAAAGTAAGTTTTCACATTCTGGCCTAGTTTAAGGCCATAATACAGGATTTGCTCCTAAAATTGTGAACTATTTACTCACTGGAATATATCTTCAAGTTAGCTGTTTGCTTGTAACTTTGAGTTTCTTTTTTATCATCATCATGATTTTGAGTGTCAACTCCTCTGTTTGGGAAAAGTCCTAGGCCGTCTGTGTTTCTAATGATGAGGGAATGAGGCATTGGTTCCAAGGAGGAGAGAAGATGTTTAGTGAAATATGGCCGCTGCTTTTCAGCCCATGATAGCAAAGCCTGCTTATTGCCGGAAGTCACTGCACACGATTGCCAGAATTTAGAAATGGCCTGTGTGTGAGTGCAAGTGCTCAGGTCAAACTACTGGGGCACGGGCTCTTCCTCTCTCCTTCCCTCCCTCCCTTCGTCCCTCCCTCCTTTCCTCTTTTTGGTTTTACAAAGGAGTTCTCACTGTGTAGTTCAGGCTCCTTTGAACTCATGATCCTCCTGTCTCAGTCTCCTAAGTGCTGGAATTACAGGAATGAGACACTATATCAGACCCTCTCTCTCTGTTTTCCTTTCTTCCCATCCTCCCTCCCTTCCTGCTTCCCTCCCTCCCTCCCACCCTCTTTCCTTCTCTCCCTTCCTCTTCTTCTTTCTTCTCCTCCCCTCATCCTTCTCTTTCGGCCCCCTACTCTCTGTTTTCCTTTATGGGAACTGAAACTGAGGTCTCACTAGGCAAGTCACTGAGCTGCATCCCCAATCTTTTAGCACTATTTTAAAAATTAATTCCAAGCCAGGTGTGGTTGGCGCACGCCTTTAATCCAAGCACTCAGGAGGCAGAGGCAGGCAGATCTCTTTGTGTTCAAGACCAGCCTGGTCGACATAGCGAGTTCCAGGACATCTGGGGCTACAGGGAGACCCTGTCTCAAAAAAAGACCAAAACAAAACAAAACAAAACACCTAAATTTCAGAGTTTCCCAGGACCTCTCTGAGGTTCTGCAAAAGTTCGATTTTGAGTCACGGCACCTAATCTATTTTTATTTCCTTGTTTATAATACTGGGATTTTGATGAACTTTCATTAGAAAATTGGGTTTATGCCTATGAAAAATGTTTGAAATCCACATTTATAGAGTTTGGTATTAATGTTTTCATAGGTAAATGCAACATAAAAAGTTAAACAGTTCTGCTCTTAAATACCTTCAGTTTCTTCTAAATTTATTAGAATATGTTGGAACCCTTAAACTTCTAAATTTGTTAGAATATATCAGATTGTCTTTTTCCCTTTCAGTACTTGAAATAGAACCTAGGACTGGGTATAGGCCAGGCAAGTATTCTATCACTGAGCTCCATCCCCAGTACTCTTTTTACTGTTAAATTTTGAGACAGGAGCTTGTTAAGCTGTCAAGGTTAGCTTCAGACCTGTGACTGTACTGCTTCAGTCTCCAGGGTGAGTAGTTGGGATTATGGGCCTGCACCGCCAGGTCCAGCCAGGTATTCAAATTTTGAAAGAAAGGTATTTGACAGCAAATGTAATTATTGTAATTATTATAGTGGAAGAGCTTAACACAAAAGAAAACTCAAGCCTGAAAAGAGTAAAGACCTTTCATCTATCCATTAAAACAATTATATCTTAGTTTAGTTCTGCTCAGTTCAAGTCAATAGGCATTTATTGGTGTTTGATCTCTGCTCTGTTCCCAAACATTGTAGTGATGTGTGGTATATATCAAATTAAGTCCTAGAGCTTCTTAAATGGAGCTCCAAGCTTGATGTATTTTAATCACACAATTCATTAACTTTCTACTTCAGATATAGTGAGTCTATTTTTCTTTCAAAAAGAGCAAACTAACTGATTTGAGAGGAGGCATGCCTATCCTGGCCCATGTGGTAATTGCCCACAGTAAAGCTCTCCCCAGTTTCTCCCAATACTCTCCCTGTTCCCCACTCCTTCTCCCCACCCTCCTCTGCATCCTTTCCATGCTCCCCACTCCTCCCCACCCTCCTCTGCATCCTCTCCATGCTCCCCACTCCTCCCCACCCTCCTCTGCATCCTCTCCATGTTCCCCACTCCTCCCCATCCTCCTCTGTATCCTCTCCATGCTCCCCACTCCTCCCCACCCTCCTTTGCATCCTCTCCATGCTCCCCACTCCTCCCCACCCTCCTCTGCATCTTCTCCATGCTCCCCACTCCTCCCCATCCTCCTCTGTATCCTCTCCATGCTCCCCCCTCCTCCCCACCCTCCTCTGCATCCTCTCCATGTTCCCCACTCCTCCCCATCCTCCTCTGTATCCTCTCCATGCTCTCCACTCCGCCCCACCCTCCTCTGCATCCTCTCCATGCTCCCCACTGCCCCCCGCCCTCCTCTGCATCTTCTCCATGCTCCCCCCCCCTCCCCACCCTCCTCTGCATCCTCTCCATGTTCCCCACTCCTCCCCATCCTCCTCTGTATCCTCTCCATGCTCCCCACTCCTCCCCACCCTCCTCTGCATCCTCTCCATGTTCCCCACTCCTTCCCACCCTCCTCTGCATCTTCTCCGTGCTCCCAGTGCTTCTCCCCATCCTCTTCTGCATCCTCTCCCTGCTCCCCACTCCCTGTCTTGTTGTTACCTTATCTCCCCCCTCCAATTCTTAATTATTTTAATGCAAATTTTTTTTTAAAAAAGAAAAATACACATTTGAAAATTAGATAGAACTTCCTGGCTTACAAACTGGGTAAAAATGTTTGGGACTTTTTAGAGAGTAGGACTAGTGTCACAGATGCTGGGTGAGACTCAGGACGTGGCCTCCTTAGGTGTGAATTCATCTCATTGGCGTCTCTCTGGTCATTCATCTGTGGGGAAATCACTCCATCTCCTTTGTACTTTGTTCTGCTCATCTCTTAGTGGGGATGATAGTGATGGCACTCACCTTCATGCCCTGATCTAAGGGTCAGATGACTTGGGTATGGAAGGCCTTTGCACAGGTACTGCCCGTCACACACTAAGTGTTATAGACATATGTCTTCTTACTTGCATCATTGGTTGTGTTTTCCAGGGTGTTCATCCTGATAAGGAAATTGTTGTAGACATAATAATGCTCTTATGGCAGAAATGCAAGCTAGGAATTCAGAGGATCACGATACCCAGAAGCGACTATGCAAGATATTCCCAAAGAATCATCACTAACAAAGTACTCTTTTTGGTTTCCTTTCACCTGTGTTTTTAATATTTCTTTGAGAATTTCATACATGAGCACTGTATTTATATCAGTCCCATCCTGCCCATTCTCCCTCCAACTCCTCCCACATCCCCCAACTCTGACCCAACTTTCTATTCTCTTCTTTGATTATTATTGTTACATATACATATGTCCATATACATACAATGTGCTGAGTCCTTTAGAGGTACGTGTGTGTACATCTGTTTATGGTTGAGCATTTGGTCAGGGCATGTCTTTTTAAAAATTTTTATTTATTATTTATATTTTTAAGTATATGTGTGTATTGCCTGTGTGTAGGTAAGTGTACCTGTGTTGTGCAATGCCTGTGGAGGTCAGAAGAGGCTGTCAAATCCCCTGGGACTGGAGTTATGGACAGTTGTTAGCTGCCACGTGGGTGCTAGGATTTGAACACCGGGTCTTCTGCAAGAACAGCCAGTGCTCCTAACTGCTGAGCCATCTCTCCAGACCCAACATATGTGGTTTTAATTCAACACATTTCCAATCTAGATCTTCCCTGTACCTGCAGGTGTAACTCATATCCTTTGTAGATGCTTTTGGTAAGAAGTTACACTTCGTAGTTCTCAGTAATCTTCCTCTTAATGTGTACTGCTGTGATATGGCCCAATTTGGCTTTTGGAATAAATCATTAAGAAGATTAATAAGAACAAAAGTATTAAGGAGGTTCATTTCCTGCAATAATGCATTTAGATTACTTAAAAGCATAGCATATTTCATTGGAAGGAGAAAGTTGAACATTTGAATATTATAAACCTGGATATTTAAGATAAAATATTTTAGTGGTGAAATATTTTAGCTCCAGTGTGTCCAAACTTCTCAAGATTAGTTGTATTAGGATGCATGAATCTGATGTTTTGATCATGCATGTACTCTATTAAATAATGGTATGGATAAATAGTGTTTTATCGTAAGTCCTAAAGAGTGATGGTTGGTTTTATGTGCTGTTCTCTGGGGACATATGTCTGAAAGACAATTTCTAAGCACCTATAGTGGAGTGTGAAACATCTACTTATTTGGAAGACTTTGAACTTTGACTATATAGGGAATATTTTGGTGATATAGAAAAGCAACAGATAATAAATTTTCCAGTCTAGCTGCAGGCATTCAGGCTATAAGCAGTTGAAGTTTTATGAATTTACATAAGCAGATTTATTATTAAATGCTCCTTAGAATTATTTTATATTATTAATAATTAATATACATTAATAAGGAGGCCTATGAATATCTCTTTGTGCTCAGAAGAGAGTGATTTCCAGGGGTATTAAATTAAAATTTGACTCTGTACTCTATGATATACTCTTACTTTGTTTTGCTGTGCGTTTTCTCTTTTTTAGTGGATTTATCTCCTGTGGCAGTTAAGTGAAGTGATTCACTGTTATAAATTGGAAGATGTCGACATTGTGATGGTGGCAGAGATCACATTACGATTAAGTGAAATATTAGAGTCTTTGGGAAGCTCAAGAAGAAAGTTAAAAAAATCTGCAGGTAAAATGATGTGTTAAAAGTACGGGATTGTTGGCACATGCATGGAGAAGTGTGCGTGTGCCATCATGAATTAGAATACAGGATAGCTGCTGTGTGTGGATGATAAGCTTTTCATTATTGTGCTTCATTGATGATTTATAATAAGAGATAACAGTGCAGGTGTAATCAGGTATATATAAACAGAAGCTTAGATGCTCTGTGGTTTGATGGTAGACAAGACTCTGTCTTTCCTTCATTTGTATATCCCCTTCATCATTCTTTTTCCTTTTTCTCTTTCTATTCATTCCCTTTTATATTTTTCCTCTTCCATTTTATCAAAGGAGCAAGTGATTCTTGAATGAGGAGAGTACGCTTGCTTGCCACTGTCTTCTTGAGTTCTCGCTACACTGCCTGACACAGGCAACTTGCTCCAGTGAATCTTCATAGGAGGAGCAGCCGTCCCCCATACGTTATCTCCATTTTAATTCTCCCTTTACTAATTTGCTATTGCTTTAGCTCCTCAAGGCTGTCAAATGGCTTCCTCTTCAGAATCGTTATAGTGTGCATGGGAAAAGTAGGCTTCATGCCTATTTTTGGTTTTGTTTTGAAGAGACAGGGTTTCCTGTAGCTTAGACTGGCCTCAAACTCACTGTGTTGCCGAGGCTGACATTGAACTACTGATCCTCTCGCCTCTACCTCCCCAGAGTTGGGATTACAGACATGTGTCACCATGCCTGGCTCAGTTTCATGTCTCCCTACAGTATGTGATTTCTTTTTCCAAACTCCTTGCCCTGTATCTACTATTTCATTATCTCCTTAGCTTGCAGATTAAAAAAAAAAACATATTTTCCATCTTTTCTTCAGCCTGAAGTGTTCTAGATTACTCATTACTGGAAACAAAAAGTCAAAATGATTTATTTATTTATTTATTTATTTATTTATTTATTTTTGGTCTTTTTAAAACAGAGTCTTCCCTGTAGCCACAGCTGGCCTAGAACTCACTATGTAGACCTGGCTGACCTGGATCTCACAGAGATCCACCACGCCCAGCATGATTACATTTTTAAAACAGTATACCATACCTGGCATGATGACATGTTTTAAAAAGTTTGTTTTTGCAGGGTGTGGTGGCACTTGCCTTTAAATCCAGAACTCAGGAGGCAGATTATTGTTTTACACTGCTAATTTATAACCAGGTTAAATACAATTTAAGATTGATTATTTGTAAATAGTGTTTCATATTGAAAATCATAAATATTAAAATATAGTTCATTTATCAGTTTGGAAACTTTTATTTTGAAGCTTCTTTTTAAAAAATTATTTGTTTTCATTTATAAATAAATATAAATGAGTGTATTGCCTGGATGTATGTAAGTGCACCCTGTTGTGCAATGCCCTCAGAAGTCAGAAAAGGGCCTAGAATCCTCTGGAACTGGAAGTTACAGATGGTTGTTAGCTGCCATGTGGGTGCTGGGACTAGAACCCAGGTCCTCTGCAAGAGCAACGCATGCTTTTAACCACTGTGCCATCTCTCCAGCTGCATATTGAAGCTTCTACATTGATGCAATGATGCTTGTTTTCATTTAGATATAGAAATTCTTAAACTCTTCTAAGAATACTATTCACATCACTTTATTGGCATGTAAAACATTATGTCAAGTCATAGCTATGAAAATTCTGCTTCTTGAGCTATTTCATTAAGTTTAGTTTAAATTATTGTATTTTAAAATAAGAAGCAGCATTACCACATAAATATTTGTAATTTATATTCCTTTAACTCAGACTAGGTTTCCCTGGTATTTGTCTGAATCCATAAGGCTATGCCATCCTTTTAAATGAACGTTAGGGAACATAGAAGGAAGGGCAATGATTGCCATGATATTGCCGTGTGGATAAACAACATTCTTGAGTTGTTTCTTGATTACTTTATATAAATATAAGTTTAAGTATGTAAAAGAAACATTTTGATATTTTGTCAAATTCTAGTGGTGAGTCATTTCCAAGATTACTAAATAAAAAAAGATGACCAAGTTAGTTACTGTTTTATATCTCCATTTCCTTCCCCATGTCCTCCTGTTGTCTTTCTGTTCGCGTCTTCCTGTCTTCCCGTCCTCTTCCCTTTCCCCGTCCTGTTCTTCTTGTCTTCCCATCTTCTTCCTTTTCCCTTTTGTCTTCCTTATTTCTTTTTCAGATTTATCTGCAATAATAGATCCTGAGGAATTCCCCGGGACTCCAAAAGGGATCCCAGAAGGTCTTCCAATATTAAAGGTATTACAACTTACTATAGAAAACATGTTTAAAAACGTGAATTGTTATTTTCAAAGATGAAATTTGTAAATTACAATGGTTGATTGTAGAAATAACTTTGAATGTTCAGGCCTTCAGGGTTTTTGTTTCTGTGTATTGATAACTGCAGAGGTGTTCTTCTGCATTTTGACTTTCCTCTAGAAGACGTCCAACCAGCTCTCAATGGAAGTTTAACACAAACTCTTCAGAGGCCTTGCTGCCACATTATCACTGCTGTTTTGAATGTGTCAAGATTCATTTTTATTCTTTCTGTTCTTTTCTCTTTAAAAGTTTTTTTTGTGAACACCATACATGAATAGTTTGTGCATGATTTCCATTCCTCTCAATCCCTCTCCCACTCCTTCTCAACTTCTTGTTCTTTTCTTTTATTATTACCACTAATAAACATGCATACATTTATAGATATACATAATATATTATAATGTAATATGTATAATACACCGAGGTCATTCAGTGGTGCTCCTGTGTACCTGTGTTTAAGGCTGCCCACTTGGAGTTAGATAACCTCTTAGGGAGTCAGTCCCTAGAGCAAACTTATTCTCTGTTCCTCAGCATCCATTGATTGCCTGCAGCTGTTCATCCTGGGGTGGGTTCCCTTGACATTTCCCCCATCCACTTTGATATGTCAACTGGTTTGTCATTATATGCAAATCTTGTTAGACTACGATACTGTGGAGATTTCACTGCTGTAGCTTCTCTATCATGTTTAGAATGCATTAAGTAGAAGCAGGCGACTTGTCCCTCTGGCTCTTACAGTCTTCTGCCCCCTCTTCACATGATGTTCCCTGAGCCTTAGGTGTAGAGGTTGCACTGTAGATGTGGCACTTAGGACTGGGCACCTCACAGTCACTTATTCTCTGCGTTTGACCATTTTTGGAACTTCATAATAGTTTCCGTAGATTTCACAGGGGCCTCTGGCAGACTGAGCAAGTTTATAGCTGGCTGAAATCCATGGAGCACAGTGATGCACTTGGCAAGTGTTCAGTATTCTTTAGCTTGCGTGGGAGAGTACGTGGCTTGTCCTCTTCTTTGTTTGCTTTTTCTGTGATATTTCAGTTACTTCTGCACATAAACATATCGTTGTCTAGATCCGAATGCAGTTGCTTCGCACATGCTACCAGCATTCATTTCTTATAGACAGTGTCCAGAGCAGCACTTGTAATGTGATGCTGGTCTTCTGTTTCAGGAAAAAGATATCATGTAGCAATCATGGATGATTTCAGATTAAACACAATAGATTTCTTTGCTGTGAAATTTCTCAGAGGCGTTACTGTTTCTAGAAGCTGTGTGATTTTCCAAGGAGATATAGAATGCTACAAGTTTTATTTTTACTCATTGCAGAATGTTTATGTAGGACTTTGGTATTTCATAGATGACTTTAAAAATAGTTTTTGAGAGAGGAAGCCAGTGAATATTTTGATTTGCCTTGAACCTTGATTTAATCAATAAACTATAAATTGTAAGAGTTGCACCGACATTGGAAGATGTTTTACAACATAAAAAATACAAATGTGCAACTTTACTATTTTGATCTATACAATGTCAGTTTTCTATCTTCTCTTTTAGTTTATCTCATTTTTCCCTTTTGTTTTTCTGAGACCTCTCCCTGTAGCCCCAGAGGTCCTGGAACTCATTATGTAGACCAAGTTGGCCTTGATCTTATAGAGATCCATCTGCCTCTGCCTTCCAAGTGTTGGGATTAAAGGCGTGTGCCACCACACCTTGCTTAGCTCATATATTTTTAAAATATTTTATTTATTATTTTAATTTTATGTGTATGAGTGTATTGCCTGCATGTATGTGAGTGCACCTATGTCGTGCAATGCTGTGGAGGTCAGAAGAGGGCTTGGGATTCCCCTGGAACTAGAGTTAAGGACAGTTTCTGGCCACCATGGGCGCTGGGAATCAAACCCAGGTCCTCTGCAAGAGCAGTCGGTGCTCTTAACCTCTGAGCCATCTCTCCAGCCTCTTAGCTCATATTTTAACATTTAGCATTCTGAAGCTTTTTGTAACATTATTTTAGCAGCCCCTTTCCTATCGTTAGATGTCAATCCTCCTAATTGCTGTCCTTTTTTGAAAAAAACGCATTTGAAATATATGACAAAACTATAAAGAATATTATAGTGAAGACCCATTTTCATCAACTAGCTTAAGAAACCAGGTGTTTCCAGTATATTCACCTTCAGAGTCTGTGGTGAGTTGCATGAGAATGTCCCCCATAGGCTCCAAGTATTGAACATTTTGTTCCCAGTTGGTGGCACTGTTTTTGGAGGTCTTAAAAGGTGTGCCCATGCTGGAGGAAGCACATCACTGTGAGTGGGCTTAGAAAGTTCTTAAGCCTTTCCAGATTTCCAGTTGTTCTCTGCTTCTTGTGCCTGCTTGAAGATGTGAGAACTTAGCTTCTGGTCCTACTCTAGCCAGCTCTGCCATCATGTTTCCTGCCATAATGGACCCTTTGGAGGTGTAAGCTAAATAAACTCTTATAAAAAAGTTCCCCTGGTCATGGTGTTTCTAGCACAACAACAGAAAAGTAACTAATAGAGAGTCTCTGGCAGATTGATTCTGGGATCCCCACAGATGCAGTAGATGCACAGTCTCTTATATAAAATGATGTAGTATTTGTATACTTCACAGTCTCTAGATTACTTGTAATACCAAATACAATGTGTGATATAAATAATTGTTATAATGTATTGTGTAGGGAATGACAAGAGAAAGTCTTTACATGTTCAATACAGATACAGTTTTGTCGGAAGTTTTTTTGTGTGTATGTATGCCTATTCATATATGTGCAGGTGTGTGTGTGTGTGTGTGTGTGTGTGTGTGTGTGTATGTGTTTGTGGGTGTGCTATGCATGTGGAGTTCAGAGGTACATCAACCTCATATGTACCTCAGGTCCCATCCACCTTGTTTTTAAAAAATTACACTTATCTCACCTCCCTCTGCTGCCCTGGGCATGCACAACCCACTAGCCTCTCTCCTGGACACTGAGGCTGACCTGTCGGCCCAGAACCACCACTGCTTCCTGACCCTTTGCAACCAGAACAGCCCAGTTCCCTCTCACCATCCCCAGGAGCCCTCTGGGCCTGGTCTCGCCCTCACCTCCCTCTGCTTCTGTGGGCTGCACAACCCACCAGCCTCTTACCTGGGTAAGTCCATCCATGCCCACTGAGCCTTGACTTCCCAGCTTCATTCAGCCTCCCAGCTGCCCAGCCCCCATCTCTGCTCCTAGCCTGGGTACAGGCCCATTTCGTGTCTTGGCACCCCAGACACCAGGGCTGACCTCTCTGCTTGGAGCCACCAATGCTTCCTGATCCTTTGCATCCAGCCAACCCAGTTCCTCCCTGCAGTCCCCAGGAGCCCTTGGGGCCTCTTCCCACCACCACCTCCCTGTGCATCCCTGGGTGGCACAGCCACCAGCTGTCTGAGAACAGCATCTTTCCTGGGCCCTGCTCCCAGGCCAATCCAACCCCCAAATTACTGAGGACAACATCTTTCCTGGAGGGATCCAGACCTTAGGAGAAAGCCTGAGAGCATCTGTTCCTCATATGACTTGGGCCTCTGTGGGAACTCCTGAAGACAAAAGCAATTTGGCCACTCCAATATAAAATTGAGAGAGTGAACCAGAAGCTTAGACAAACCAGCTTTTCATGCCCAAAAAGCAAACCACAAAGACACATAAAGTTTACAAAAAGAAGCAGACCTAAACTTGAAGGCTTGACTCTCACACAAGAATCAGAAACTACAAAAGAAATTCACATGTCAAAATCACAGAGAAAAAATAATAACATGAAAAACCAAAGTAACATATCCCCACCAAATACCAATAGTCCCCTAGAGGAGTACAGTGAGAATCACCTAGAGATAATGCAGGACATGGAATTCAAAAGAAAAATTATAAAGATGATAAAATAATTCAGTGAATTAAAGAACACACAAAGAAATCAAAGCACTGAAGGAAGATAGGGTTAAACTTCTGAATGAATTCAGGAAAGAGCTAGAAATATTGAAGACTACTCAAGCTGAAATGAAGAAGGAAATGAAACACTCGGTAAGCCTATTAGAAAAAACAGGAGAAAGCCTCACCAATAGGATGAATGAAATGGAAAACAGAATATCAAGACTGGAAGATAAAGTGGATGAACTAGACCACTCAAGCAAATCTATGAAAAATTTAAGAAAGCACAAGAATGGAATATGCAGGAATTGTGTGACACCATAAAAGACCCAACTTACAAATTAAGAAAGACATGCCCATGCAAATACAAGAAGCATATAGAACACCAAATAGACAGGACCAGAAAAGAAACTCTCCACAGCACATCATAGTAAAAACACTAAATGTACAGAACAAAGAGACAATACTGAAAGCTGCAAAAGAAAAACAAATCACAAATAAAGGAAAACTCATCAGGATTACAGCTGACTTTTCAGTGCAAACTATGAAAGCCAGAAGAGCCTGGCCCAAAGTATTGCCAATTTTAAATGACCACAGATGCCAACCCAGACTACTATACACAGCCAAAATGACTATTATAGTGGAAGGGGAAAGAAATCTTCCCTGACATAAATAGGCTGAAGGAATTCATGTCCACAAAACCATCCCTTCAGAGAGTTCCTGAAGCAATACAAAGAGCTGAAGAAGGGAATGACTATACTCAAGGGGTTGCGGTAAGAAATTCAATGAAGGTATAACTGTGGAAAAGTACAGCTATATCAAGTGTATGAACAGAAATAAAAATGACAGGATTCAATGCACACCTTTCATTAATAACTTTAAATATCAATGGACTTAACTCATCAGTCAAAAGACATACTAGGTGAATGGGTTAAGAAACA